GTGTGTGTGTGTGTGTGTGTGTGTGTGTGTGTGTGTGTGTGTGTGTGTGTGTGTGTGTAGTAAGGCACCTGCTGCCTACCTATTCTGTGGAGGTTGCTCACATCTGTAAACCTGTGAACGTCACCCTTCCCCTCATTGTGATGGTTACAAAACATCTGCCAGTTCTTGAATTTCCCAATAGATGTATGAGATACGTGGTTCCAGAAATCTCAGAATCCCTTCACCATTGTCTCCACCCAGCCAAATCTTTCCCCTCCAACATCCCATTACACTAGTAAGCACACTAATGATTTGGAGCTGTCAACTGTGAGGGGCAAAGTGCTGTGCGAACATGTTTTCAGTGGGCAACCAGACACTGCCTTCATTTAGGGTTGCTCAGATGACTCAGGGAGCTGACTTCTCTATAGTTTCCAGAGCCAAGGTCAACTGATCAGTGAGCTTGTTCTTGTTTGATTCTCCAGGACAATAGCAGGCACATAATACACATTCAGTGAATGCTTGATAATGTGAAATGTGTGTGTGTGTGTGTGTATGTGTGTGTGTGTGTGTGTGTGAGTGTATAAAACTGAAGATGTCTCTTGCCACCAAAGTACAGTTTATTTCACCATATTTCATGGACTATGTGTACGCATACACACGTACATTTACATCTACATCTATATTTGTTTTAAAATCACGAGTGGCAAGCAAGCTATATTCATGTGTTCATCTTCTCCCTCTTCCACTCATAAATAGGGGGGCCTCTCTGTCACCTCTGGTTTCCAGGTCTCACCAATATTATTCCATTTTATAAATGTTCCTTTTTGAGATACTGGCTCTTTCCAGAAAAATTAAGCAAGTCTGTCAAGTATTATGGGTAAGTTTGTGCCTTCTCTGTAGCTTTCCAAGTAGTCTTATTCAGAACTCTCTGGGTCTGACCCTGTTCGGTCTCCAGGAGACCTGCCCCTCTGCCTCTATGTCGGTCCGAATGGCCCAAGTCCTACAGATCACAGTGCAGTGGTGGCTAAGAATTCGGTTGAATCAAGCTGCCTAGGACCACATTAACCTTTCACTGATCCCTTTCTTGTTCAGCTAGAAAGAAATTAATTGACTTAGCAGGCTGCCACACACTAGAGAGGGAGAAGCAGGGCCTGGGTGAGACCCAGAGCCAAAATGCTCTCTCATGTGCAGCCGCAAACTTTGAAATCATCTTTGTGCTAGGAGCTCCTTGCCCACTCAAGATAAATCTCTTGATCCATTGGTTTGCCATTCTCCCCAGTAGCAGTACCGTAGTGTGATTCAGTGTGGTATGCCAGACCCCATTTGATGGAAAAATCAAATATACCCTCATAAAGTATCATTTCTGTATTTAATCTCTGAAAGTGGGAAGACTGGCACCAATTTACTGGTTACATTCCAGTCTAGATATCCTGTAGAAATACAGCAGGCTTTCCTCAGAGGCATTTGGGAACAACCTGGCATCAGAAATGTCTCTCCACTTTCTTGCTAAGTGACAGATCAAATGTGAAACCCAGTATATAGGGACCCCATGTGGGGCTGTTACCAGCACTAGAGGACTTTGAAATGAATTACATGTGTTTATAACATGTGTAAGTATGCAGGGTGCCCTCCTTTTCTGAGATTAGCCAACAGAAACATTTGAATCAAAAAGTAATGTATAACATAATTTTTTTAACATAATTTTGTGTATGGTAAAGAATTCCCCATCCAGTTTAATTGTCTTCGTGTTAGCAATATTCTTTTTCTATTTTCTTTTCAGAACACTTGGTAAAAAAAAAAAAATTAAAGGGAAAGAATATATTGCTTAACACTGTTTTCCCCCATAGTAGGTACTCCATAAATGTTTGTTTATTATAATCCAAATAATTATTCCTACATGTTAATATATAGTTGGTAAAAGTTTGCGCTGAAATGTGCATCATTTATGGCTCAAATTTGGTAGTATCAAAGGGGGATATGGATCCTTTCATTCCTGACTGATTTATTTCGTGGAGGATTTATAATTCCACAGAAAGTTTGTATTTTAAGGTTGTTTTGTTTTGTTTTTCTTTTTAAATAGCTCTCATTTTTACTTTCAAAGTTTCATGAGAGCTTTGTGTTAATATAAAGAACAATATTATACCCCGGGTTAAAAGCTGAAGACATTTAATGGAGGCATGTATTACAAATAGCATCTAGCCACACAGGAAGGTTAAGACTTAATATCTGAAATTCTGTTGTTGCTCATTATTTGTAGGACCAGAATGAAATACATTTCCAAAGGCTAAGGTCAGTATTACATTATCCTGGAAATGTCTTTGTTGAATAAATGTGTAAATATTTCAAATAAGTATTATGAGATTATATTTCTATTGGGGACATATCTATAGGATGACTGATTCTACTACTTGTAATTGCAGGAGCACACATGTCACGTTACATGTCATTCCTGATTACCGATTTCATCTGAAATGGTCTGGAAATAAATACCGATTACTAGTAATGTAAGACTATTTACCTTGGAGTCAGATGTCTGACAGGCAGGCTAGAGCTAATGGATTTGGTCATTTTTAAAGCATTGTTCCCTAAAACAGGATACTGTTTTAAGGTAACATTGCAAGTTTTCCGAGTAGCGTATCTGGATTCATTTGCAATTAATATGAAGAACATACCTATGAGCATGCAGTCCCTGATGTCTTTCCAGCCTTCAATGGTACAAAGGAAAGAAAATTGTACCTGGGACCTACCTACTAGACAGCTTTGGCTTTACTCTTCCTTGTTATAAAGTCCTTAGATCAAGGGAAATCAAGAACCAAATATGAAGGATGGTGTCAATGTAACTGAGGGGTGTTGCCTCATTGGGAGATACAGTTGCATCATGGGAAGGTGGTGTGATCTAATTTCATAATTGTAAACCTCATAGTGGGTATGGTTGATTCATTTGAAACTCTTGTCCACTTTGCTATGGCTGGACAGCTGAATTAATATGGGTAGGTCTTGGCTTCACACTTTCATAATTTCTTATTTTCGTGGTTTTATTTGAAAAAAATCGAAAGTAGGGGGATGGGGTAACCGGGTGATGGGCATTAAGGAGGGCACATGATGTGATGAGCACTGGATGTTATAGCAACTGATAAATTATTGAACAGTATATCTGAAACTAATGATGTACTGTAAGTTGGCTAATTGAATTTAAATAAAAAAAGAAAAAATCTAAAGGAAAAACTGTTAGGATGGCTTTAGCTGAAATCAAACTTTTATAAAGCTATGGCTTGATTTAAGGTATAATGAATTTTTCTGACCTTCTAAATCAGGACTGTGTAAATTTTGCCTTGAAAAGGAGGCTGGGGATGGTGGGGGGTATATGAATCCTAGTTTTCTACAGAGCTGATTGTCTGCCTGTATTTTAAATCACAGCCCAACTCGGGGGCAAGGACAACTGTTATATGGGGGGAAAATGCTAGGACTCTCCTTATTTAATCAGCATGAAGGCATCAACTAATAACTATCTAATATTTTGAGTTGTAAATGGAAATATAGACCATCAGAAAAGAAAGCAGAATTGAAGTTGTGTGAAGGAACAGTAGCAGGTATGCAAACTGGGCTTTCGAGATTTTTTTTTTCCTGTTATGGTCAGTGTTATGCACATACGGCAAAATTTTAAATAATGCAGACTCTGGGTATGAAGCATCTGAAATTCATCCTCAAGAGATTTATCTAATAATACTCTCAAGATTCAAGTTTCCATAGGCCAGTAAAAAGGATTAAGCTTCAAAGTTCAGAGGGAATTAAGTCTTAATTTTAAGTTAAAATTCACAAAATTTACCTTTATAGAGGTATTTTTGTTTCCCTTCCCAGAGTGCCACAATATCTCATTTTTAGGGTGTGAAAACTAGAGTCTTTCCCACCTGCAGATGGGTTCTCTGGAGAGAATGATGGATATGGAAGAGCCTGGGAATTTAGTGGTTCAAGTCGGCTGGCGATTGGATTATCGTGTAGGTGATTCACATAAAGTTTTCTGCTCTCCTTCCAGGTAACAGTGTTCCTGGGGGAAAGAGGGAGGTGTAAACAAGGACCTTTGGTGAAGTTGGTGTGATGGAGATTACCGACGTCTGGGTGGGCGAGTTCCGCCTGCCCGGGCCGAGTCTCCCGGGAAAGACTTAGGAGGCACTTACTCCACTCCCCGGCAAGGTCCGGGTGACAGCGTTCTACATGGCCCCGTAGGGGGCCCTACCGTCCGAATAGAGCTGGGGCGCTCTGGGAAGTGAGGGTGACTACGGCCCCCAGGCCAAACCCCTCTTTTCCGCCGACGAACTGGAGTATTTAACGCCCCGGGGGCCCCGGAAAGGAAGCGGGAGAGTGGCGTCGGGTGGCGTGCCCCTTGCCCCACGGGGTGGGGGCAGAAAGCGGTCAGGCGCGCGTTCCGCGGGGCGCTGCGTGCAGAGAGCACCCTGGCGACCACAGGTGCTCTGGGAGGCGAAGAGGAGGCTGGGGGCCTGGGCGCGGGCCGGGGGCGCGGCAGGGCAGCGCCTGGCTGGGGTGCGCCCGCAGAGCCGCCGCCGCTCACCTGCCCGCGGGGGCGGGGCGGGGCGCGGCGCGGCGCTGGGGCGCGCCTGCCTCCCGCCTCCCGCCTCCCGCCTCCCGCCCCGGGAGGAAGCGGAGGGGCGCGGTGTAAACAGAGCGGCGGCCGTGATGTCAGCCGGTCACATGGAGCCTCTTATGGCTCGGGATGGCTCTCGGCGGGCGGGCAGCTGCGGCAGCTGCTGCTGTGGCTCGGGCGGCGGCGGCGCGGCGGCGGCAGAGGGGGCTCCGGGGTCGGACCATCGGCTCTCCCTGCGCTCTCCGCACCGCGGCTTAAATGATGTATTTTGTGATCGCAGCGATGAAAGGTGAGCCGGTAGCCCCGCCGGGGCCGGGTGGGCTGGCTGCTCCGGGGGGCGGGGAGGAGGGCGCGCAGGGGGAGGGGTGGGCGCGCCTGCCCGAGCGCACGTACTGCCCGGGGCTGGGCGCCGAAGCCCCGCCAGGGCCTTCTGGGCCACCGCAGCGGCGCCACCTGAGCCCGGCCGCGGGATCAGCCTGCCTCCTGTAGGGGGCAAAGGCGCACGGGCTGGACCCCCCCTCTTCCGCCCCCTCTGACTCCTGTCAGCCGCCCGGGTCCGCCTGGCACCCGGCGGGGCTCTCGGAAGAAAGTTTGCTGGGAGTCGCGGCGCTTCTGGAAGGGAGGGGAGGATCCGGGGAGCTCGGAGGAAGCCGGGGACGCCCGCGGTCGGTCCCCAGGGCCCGCACCCCGGACAGCTCCGGCCTACGTAGGGAAGGCGCTGCGGCCGGGCCGGGCCGTGCGTGCGCGCCGACGCGATGTCATCCCTGGGGACTGGTCAGCGCCCCAGGCCTTGCGCCCTCCCCCCCGTGGCGGCCCCGAGGCCCCGAGCGCCCGAGCGGCCGCGGGCCGGGGAAGTGCGGCCGTTTCGCTCTGCGTCCCGCCGCGGCTACTTCCGAAAGCGCCCGGGCCCGAGCGAGACGGGTTTGTCGAGCCTGCCAAGACTCTCTGGGCTGTCGTCCGCATCCGCAGCGCACCCCGACTTTGATACTTTGGGTTGTGGATGGATGTGGGTCGGCAATCCTTGCCCACAGGAGTCGCGGGCAGCGGTGGAAGTTAGACGGCGGTGAGGGCCGACCCGCGCGGGTTAGTCGCGGTCAAGTCTCCCCACCCGGCCTTCCGCCCAGATCAGGATTCCTTAGCAGGCTAGGGGGGGATGGCAGGGGGGACTAGTTGAAGAGAGGATTGATTCGAGGTCTTCCCAGGTGAGGGGGAAAAAACCGAGGCAAGTCGGGGAAGTTTCTAATGGGAGAGCCAAAGTTTGGAGGTGTGCAGGAAGTCGCCTGTGCGGCCGGGAGAAACCGAGCCACGCTCTTAGGACTCTGCAAACAGCCCTGGAGAAACTCAGCCAACAGCGCGTTGCCCGCTTGTGCGCCAGCAGGTTCCTCCGGGGGGATAATCTGCCCGAGCGGCTTCGCGGACCCGGCGGCTGGGAGCGGGGATTTAGAACCCCATCTGTTTGCGGCGTACCGGGCTCCCCTAATGCGCAGCGTTTTTGCAGACCCAGACTGTCGTGCGGGTTCTGCCCATCCGCGCGGGCGCAGGGACCGCGTTAAGCGTTTGGTAGGTTGAGGTTTTGTTGCAATCCAGGATGGAGGACACTAGTTCCGTATCTGAGCTGCGTTTACTTTCGGATCACCGAGCTTTGCCTTTCTTCATTAGAGATTGGGTGGCATCTCTTTTATTAATTATTAACAGGCCGAAACGTGCTGGACACTAAGATGAGCTGCTTGAGATGAAATCTTTCTATACATACGATATATCCACGGCAAATTTTCTATCTTTCCTTCGTGGCTTTCGGAAAACGGGGTCTAGTCGTTTTTAGAATAAGGAGGGAAAACCTTTGTGATTCACGTTCTCAAGCACTTAAAATCATTTTGTAAAGAAAAAAAATGTTTTTCTTACCGACTTTTTTTTTTTTTGGTAAAAGAAATCTATGCTCTTCCCCTCCCCCTCAAAAAAACTTTTATGCTATTTCCTGCGTTTTATTAATCCTGTAAAACGACTCAAATAGCCTTTGTAGTCAAGACACTTTCTAATGTTTTTTTTCCCCCCTTTAAGTTATAAAATAGATTTTGCTATTTGGAAGATGTCAGTGCCAGTCCTTATCCATTTTATGTTGTATAATTTGTGTTGATTGGGGGGAAGGGTGAAAAGCTAAGATTATTTCCCCTCATGAGCAGTAACCACCAAACAATAAGGAAAGTATGTTTTAATATTTTAATCTAATGTTGATGCTTCCCAAGGATTTTGCTTCCTAGCTCCAGTACAAAGTTCGGTACTATCCCTTACTAATATAATCATGAGAATCACACCACCACCAACATCCCCCAAAAGCTCTAGCCCACACATTTGTCTTGGAGTGACCTCTGGCTGCCATTAGATAATAGATTCATAGTGACGTGCTTTGAGAAAAGTAGCTCAGAAGTACTAGCAATGCAGTTTTTCTATAAGCATGAGAGAGAGAGAGAAACAGAATGCATCTGGACAATTAGAATATTTCATTTCCAATATCCTAACATCCTGTGTTTTAATGGGATTATCTCGCTTTGGTGCAAATTTAAACTGAAGAAAAATAGTTTGTGGGAAAATGAGGAATGCTGTAAATGTTTCCATATCAGATTTAAGGGGAAAAAAACTGGCCCAAAATCATATTAAATACTTCCCTGCTGCCTCTTATTTTTAATAGTTAAATTGGTTCCATATGTAAGAGTTTGTATAATTAGATTTTTCATGCAAAACAGAAGTACTCTTTATAATATAGCTTTTTGGTACATGTATGCATGTGGATGGAGGAGGAGAGAACAAGCGACCATAAAAGAGAAACATTCTCTTTGTTGGCTGATTACTTATGTTTTTTAAACATCATTAAATCGGGCCTTTTGAACTCACCAAAGAAAATCCTTCCTCTGCGTTAGTTGTCAAATAAGTTTAGGCTTAAAGTGGTTTCATGCTTAGAAGTAATAAATCTTCATTTAAGCAACTCTGGTCTCATCCTTCAGTTTTGTTTTTGTTTAATTAACAACAAAATTCCAATACCATTTGGATTGCTTCTTGGGCAAACAGAGAGAGCCAGCGATAACATTTATAATCAGGGGAGCACTTGTTCTGCTCATCATAAAAGTGCATTGGCCAAATGTCAGGCAGCAGCCATGTGCTGAAAGGAAATGCAAGGGCTTCATCAGTTTCTGTAGATTATATACCCCTTTGCTTCATGAGTGCTCAGCCTATGCTCATGTAAATGGAGTTAGAGTGGAGAGAGGCTTACAGGGAATTTCTGTCCCATAATAGATTCTTCCCCCAGCACAATTCATGTGCAAATGAAAAACTTCACCTTACTGCTCTGGAAATATTTTATGTGTTGGTGATTAGTAGTATTTCCAACTCGCATAAATTTGATTTTATAGTTTTGAAAAACTTGGCCTTTCTTTTTACCCAATGAAATGTGAATGTTATCCCTGGTCTTCTTTCAAGCATCCCGTCAGTGGTATCCCTTAGCAGGGATTTTTGTCCCATTTTTGTGACCTTTGATGGTAGGATTGGGAGAAGGGTGATGGCTGGATCTTGAAAGGAGAAAATCCAAAGGGCTGCGCCACCAGGCAGAGTTCACGGGCAAGGAGGGGTCAGTTCTTTTAAAGACAAAAGAGGATCTCTGAATCCATCTGTCCCTGGGAGGAGGGGGGAGCTCAGACTCTCTGTGAAGTAGAGAGTATTTTTAAAGCACCCTTTTCTTGAGCAGCCTCTTGATTTTATATATTTGAATCCCATTACTTGAAATGCAAAGCAACATCATACTCAAGTAAACCACTTTGCTCTCAATTTGAATTGAAAACCATGTAATTTCTTGATGCTGCCCAGTTATAAAATAATACAATTTCTAAATGGAAGTAATCCGATAGAGGGATGGATGGATGGATAGAGAGATAGAAAGAATATGATTTATATCTTAGGGGTTATTTTATAATTAGTAGATAAATTAGTAAATATATGTTAATAGTTCTTACTGCCCTTCTTCCTCTCTCACCTTTCCCTTCCAGGCCAAGTGAATCACAATGAAATGGATGAGATCAGCAAGTAGATAATTGCGAAGCACCTGCAATGGCACCAGCCACTTTGTAATTTGCTCAGTGTCGTCTAAGAAAATAATATTTACAAATGGCCATTTACTGGGAGAAAAAGTTACTAGATAGATGGATAGATCGATCTGCAGGGGTAGAGTTGGAGTTTGGTTTTCTTAAAATTCTCTTAAATTATTTTAGTCATCAATAAAACCCATTGCGTGGAATAAATCTAAGTACTTCATCATAGAAATGTTTTCTGATGCAGGCTAAATATTCATAGTGCTTATTAGTAAGAAATCAAGGCTGCTTTAATCTACATATTTCATGTTTAGTAAGTATTAATACCATAATTAGACTCAGAATCAGCAGCTACACCATGTGTATGTTTCTCTGCTTAAAAAAAGAAAAAAAAAGATAATTTGGAAAGATCCACCGGTGACAACACGTATGAACTAACATTTGATATTATCTCAAAGGCCACGTATTGACCCTATAAGGAATGACTGACAAATTTTCCCTCTCCCCCCTCTTCTAGATCTTCCCCTGAGGATACCTCCCTTCCAACCCAGCGTTTGAGTCATGGACTTAGAGATTCATAGTCAGAGCTTTTTTATTTGTTAGTATGCATGCTTTTCTGTAAATTGTCAGAGCATTATGTCCAGAGATAAGAGGTCTAAATGGACCAATAATAGCATATATTATTAGCCCTTGGGCAAAATGCAAGAAAGTAGTTGAAAACTTTTTATTTCTGGATTTTCTTTTTAAAGTGACATTTGGTAGCCCTCATCATATTATAAGGAGGTAATGTGGTAATTTTAAAAGTCTTTGCTCCTGTGAGTATGAAAAGCCATGTCTAACCTATTCCCTAGGTTTGCCAGTGATTTCATTTTTTGATTTTTATTTTATTGCCCTGAAGTTTACTAGGCATTTCGTAAATACACAGATGGATGAGCTAATCTATATTTGTTTTGTGCTTTATGCTTTACAAACATTCTTATCTCATTTAATCCTCTGTGGAAAGCCACTGATACTCTCATGGTTTTTGGTTGAAGTGAAGCTCTTAGAGGTTATGTTGTTGTAGCCAAGCCCTTCCAGGCTGCGAAGTGGTGAAGCAAGGACAAGAGTCCTAATTTCCACTATTTTCATGCTGCCTCCCCTGGAGAAAGCTGTGAATATGTCCTGGATATAACTTTGTCTCTAGTTAGTGAAAATTATAACTCTGGCATTTATA